GCTGCTGCTGCTGCCTGCCCACCCCAAGGTGAGCCCTGAACCCTTGCATCAGGAGCTGCAAGGAAAAGAGGGACAGGGGAGACCTACATGGAGAACAGTAGGTTGGGCCTCACAGATCAATTCCTACATTTTTTAAATATGCTATTTCAATATCATTTTTAAATGAAAAGCTGTACCCACTCAGAGGGCACAGCAATTCAGATATGTGTTACATTAGATGGCAATTTGCACAGCATCCTATTCATGTAAAGTTCTGGAAGGTTGAGGCAAAAGCAGATAGCATAGCATGGGGACCACACGGTGGGAAGGAAGGCAGGAGAGTTTGTCTAAATGGGTTAAAGGTTCAGAATGAAGGAATCAGGATGAGAAATATGGCACAGAACTTTTATCTAGCAAAGTCACTAATAGAGGTGCTTTTATATTTCTTTCTGCTTTGAAGTGTGGAAACTGAAATGGCCCAGTAGAATTCCAGCCCTGGTGAGGAGCCACAGAGGGGATCAAGACAGATCGCCAGAGCGCCAGCTCCCTTCAACACACAGCAACAGGCTCCTGCATCGATCCTCCAGCTATTGGGTCTAAGCTGCCACTTTATAACTCCTCCAGCTTACTTTAGCTCCAGCACTATTGTTGGATGCAGAGGTGGTCGGAAGGCAATGTACGCAGTGACTCTACCTTCCTAGCTTTGGTTGTGCTTGTAGGACCACTCACACTGCATGGACAACAGCAGCCTCTATAACCAGGAAATGACTTCACATCAATCTCGGCTGCTCATCCTCTTGGTCACTTTAACCCCTCCAACTACTTCTCTGCCTGCCTTTTGGAAAGAAGAGTAAGCCTTGTGTAAGTCCTGAAGAGTGGACATGGGTGAAGGAGATAAAGGGGACTGTAGCTAGAGTTTTTCTGCCTGGGCTACAGTCAGGACAAATCTCTGTCACCCGCCAGTCCCATAGCCGTCAGACCCAACCAAGTAAACACAGAGACTAATATTGCTTACAAACTGTATGGCCGTGGCAGGCTTCCTGCTAACTGTTCTTGCATCTTAAATTAATCCATTTTTATAAATCTATACCTTGCCACATGGCTCGTGGCTTACCGTCATCCTCACATGCTGTTTGTCATGTCGGTGGCTGGGAGAGACCCCCTTTCCTTCCTGTTCCCTTAATTCTCCCCTCTGTTAGTCCTGCCTATACTTCCTGCCTGGTCATTGGCCAATCAGTGTTTTATGTATTGA